GAAAAGCATGGATTTTTTGCTGTTCAAGCTTGATTAGGCGAATGCAGAGTAAACATTCGCAAGTTTATCTGGACAGGGTGAATTAATTTGAAGGCCCGGATGAATTTTGTATGATGCACAGCGACACTGATATTTATAAATGTATTCTCTGTTGTTAACGGTCGCCTGCCGGCTGGAAATGTATCGATTTCAGTAACTAACACACACACACACACATGGGGTAAAATAAACATTAAAGTGGGATTTAAAATTTTCGTATTTGCTTTGGTTGTTTGATTAAGGAGAACTCGAGCATTGATTTAGAAAATTACTCAGCAATTACACATGGTATTTAGAACGGCGCCCATCAGCAATGAAAACATTAGTAAAATTAGTCATTAGCTGCACTCAAATCCTCAGGGATGGACATGGAAACCTTCGAAAGCCCAAGCAAACCGACACCCAGCTATTACAAAGCGTTGCAACGAATAAAAGCCAGTTGTTAAGGGTTTACGAGCCAGTTAGCTCGAAGGATTTTATGGGTTATCGGGTAAATTTCAGTAATTGTGGATAGAGGCTGTACCTGAGCGATCTGGTCGAATCTCCCGAAGAGCTCGTTCAGAGTCTTCACCAAATCACTGGCTGACAGCTGCTCGCTCAAGGGGGTGAAGTTCACAATGTCCGCATACAGAATGCTCACATTGTTGTGCCTCTGGACGTACATTTCGTGGAAAGTTTGGGTTTTGTGCTCCGAACAGGCGTCCGCCATTTTCAGCATAATGCTTCGCTTTACCTGCAATTTGAACAACCAATGTAATACCGAGAAGCGAAATTTTCTTCAAAATTTGCGCTTTTCCAGCTGTTTCCGTCTGGAACTCCGACACAATGAGGCAGAAGTTTGAAAATTTTTTATATATTGGAAAATATGGTTTCGAATTCCAGTCGCTTCCGTGAAACTTCCAAAATACTGCCCTTTACCAGAAAAATTACTGCAATTTTGGATTGTGGAGAATGTGCGCTCTGTTTTTTCAACTCCAACCATTCAGTGCTTTAACTGCTCTTATTTTCAATATGGGAATTCATGAAAAAAATTTGGAAGTTTAATTTATTTAATAACGGACATCTAAACTAACCCAAACGGCACATTTGAGGCCCATTTTTTCCTAAATGTTCTGAAGCACCTGAAATTTTGGACGTTTATTCAAAAAAGCTTCTCCTTTAAGTGAGCGAAAATAAAAAATTCGATCGCCTGCAGTGTACGAGCATTGACTTTTAAAAAAAAACTATCTATAATGTTTCTGAACAGTTGAAGTATTTATATGGTCTGTAAAATAAAATTGTAACAGAACTTTTTTTCGGTAGAGGCCCAGAAAGTTCAAGAAACCATCTTCTTCGGTTGAGAATCTGTATATTTTTAAGTACTGGCATACACTTTTTTGAGTAACGTTTCTGAACCACTGAAAATTTGAAAAAATTCTAGAAAACCTGCAATTCTTTTCAATCACCTTAAATTCTAGATATTTATCCACAAGCGCAAGGCCGCAAAGTTCAACAGTCCAACGCAGTCAGTTTTTTTTTAATACCGACTTGCATTGTTGGGCCATATTTATAACTGAGTTATATGGAGCTTAAAAAATCAACTAGTCTTCAAAAATAAATGAAATTTTGCACACTTATCGATAAATATTTCCTTTAAGTGGGTCCAAAAGTTTACGGTTCCATCACCTTTGGCTTGCAAGCTGTCTTTTTTCAAGTACAGGCATGCCATTTTGGGCTGGATTTCTAACTGAAAGTTGCAAATTTCAATAAAAAATAAAAAACATCAACCAGTCCTCCTAGTCGTAAAAAATTCCGACAGTCTAGTGGCCACGGCCTTCCTCTTGAAGTTTCTTTCAGTTTTTTCAACAAACAGGATTTTCCACTTTAAAGAATTGCAGCAATTTAGGAATTTCCTGTAATTCTTGAGCATTTAATAAAATTTAAGAAAAAAGTCTTCATCATCAAGCTCATCAAACTGTAAGTTGTAAACAAAGGTAGGTAAACGCAATTTTTTTTTTATTTAAATGCGTCAGTTGCGAGCTATCTAAAAATGCAGAAAATTAATAATTTTTGTGATTTTTGAGAAATCAACAAATTGCTAAGAAGGAAACCATTTAAATTGTGCATGATCCCGTTCATAAAATCGCAAGTGGAAACTTCATCAGAAAAAAGGAACTTCTAAACCAGATAAAACTGCTAAAATTTAGGAAAGCCCTGTGACTTTTGCAAATTTCTATGAAAAATTG